GGAGTTTGGTTGGAAGAGAAATTGTTCTATAATTGTATTTGCAGCACAAACACACTGGTTTTATTTAGATGACATATCATAGAGCATGAGGGTGACAAAGAGGCCAGTGGATAAATCTAGCCCCCTACTTGTTTTTGTAAATGAAGTATTGTTGGAATGCTTCTATGCCGTTTCTATTGCCTATGACTTCTTTTGCATTGTAGTGGCAGAGTTGAGTAGTTGAAACAGGCTGTATGTGTGATCTACAAAGGTCTAAAATACTTACAATCTGGCCCTTTACAGGAAAAGTTTGCAAATCCCTGTAACATAGCAATAAAACAGCACATTTAAAAATAAGATGCTTCATTTATAACAATGTGCGTAAAAATGAGAAAGCATCCTTTGCTCATTTCAAATCATATTTTGGGGATGTCTTGGTGGGTGGGATAATGAGGTCCCTGGGTGGGGAAGGGAGTGTACATTTTCCCAAGTGACCTGTTTGTGCTGTGACCATGGAGACAGTCCTTCCTCGACCCAGGTCCTCTGAATCTCACAGAATGCCAACCTGTGGTCTGAGTTTCTGCTTCATTTTCAGGTTCTGGCCTCTGCCCAGCAGCACAGACTGTCCTCTCACCTTGGGTTGTTTTTCAGTTTTCTCACATCATGGCAGCTACGGAAAATGGCATTAATTATTTGTAAAAGGATGCGGCTGCTCACGGCTGAAGAGACAGCCACAGAAGCTGTCCCAGATCCCATCCCCAGGACTGAGGCATTGGCCTCTGCACACATGAAACCCATTAGCAGTCCGGAAGACATTGCAGCGGAGGGCTGGGAGGCTCCTGCTGGTGTGCTTCCCCTTGTTCCTGGTGACAGTGCTCTGGATCTGCCACTCAGGGTGTCAAGGAGAGTTAGTCACATTTTCCTGTTCCTGCTCCAGGATGGGCCCTCCTGTTCCCCAGGGCCCCAACCTTAACAAAGACCTGAAGGAGCATGCTAGGTCCTGGGTGAGTTGTTTTCTCCTATGCTTCATTTAAGCCTAATTAAAGTTCTGGCATTAGACCAGAGAGATATGATACTATTAGCTATGTTTTGTAATGGAGGAAATGGAACCTCAGAGCACTGCAGCAAGTTGCTCAGGTAAATGGGCTCTGAGCCAGAGGATCAATTGCTAGTGGTGTGCTGGCAATGCCAACAATGGGCTCTCCTTGCACAGCAGGGAGTGGGGAAGCCTCATCCATAGCATCTGCCCCAGCCCTCGAATAAATCCCCCACCCAGGGGGCTCCCCACCCCTGGACTCAGATCCCTGACCCTCACTGGGTCTCTATTCCCTGACCTGTGGGTTGAGAAGGCGTAGCGCCTGGAGTTGAGGAGCAGACCTGCACAGGAAATGCTGCAGAAACCTTTAAAAGTCACAGTCTTAGAAGGCGTGGGTTGGTGCCAGCAAAGTAGGAGCCCCAAGCATGAAAAGACCTGGCACGTCTCACCTCAGTCACCCATGTGCGACTAAAAGCAGATCCGACACTAAGCCATCTGTTTAAGAAGGCCAGTTTTTCTCATGATGCCTATGTAAATCATCACATTAAAAAAAAAGTGTTGGGCTCCCTATCTTGCTATTGCCCTAAGCATGTTCTTGGCCTTTCCATTGGGTGACCCAGCCTGGAGACAATATGTTTGAGAAAGATGGGTATCTTGTATCTTTCAGAACCCAGCTGGAAACACATAAGGAGAATTAGGGGTATCCAGTATCCAGCTTGGAGTAACTTCGATGGCCTGGGACTGAGTTTAGACAAATGGCCTGCAGAATTGTACCTAACTAGCTGTGTAATGACTCGTGAATTGTTTTTTGAGCACCTCTGGCAAGGCGCTGAGTGGGGAGAGGTGAGATGTTTGTCTTCTCTGGGGCTGGGGATGGGGTGAAAGACGCACGTGACAGAGGTCACTTATAACCCAGGGAGTGCTGCTGCCATGATACCTGGGCAGCATCCGAGGGCCCACAATGGCCAGGTGCGCTGTAAGGGGGTCAAGAGATCACTGTCGAAGTTGGCAGCTGCAGGAGGCTTCCAGAATGGCAGATGGATCTGGGCCTCGAAAGGCAGGTGGGATTCCAGCAGGGGAGGACGGAGGCTGAACCAGCACTCTTGGGGATCCACCGAGTGGTTTTTCCTTTCTCTGTTTCACATGGATGCCCTTGATTCTCACTTCCATTTTCTCTCCTGGTTTGACTCCTGAATTACATCCTCAGGTGAGAGGGTAGCCTTGACTCCCCTCTTCTGGGACTGGTTATTAGGCTAGGTGGGGGTGGACAGGAGGTGACTTCCTCCCAGAGGCAGGAGTAATATACCCAACCAACACTCCAACTCTCTTTAAAGTCATCTTCACATCCCTTTAATAAGTTCATTTTTCCATTATGAAGCCTAGAGGTGTGTGATTGGCTAACATTCAAAGAACTAGTATTTGGCCACCTTTTAGCAATTATTTCAAGTATGTTCCTTTAGAAGGTGCAGGTGCTTGTTAAGAGTTCTTTTCAGCAAAGATCCTAACACAACCGGAAAAGTCCAATGTAATATCTTGTTATGTTCTCTAGGTTGATTTTACATTCTGCCTATATGATCGAACACATTTCCAATGCAATTAAAAAATAGTTTGCAACAACTCAGCCGTGCCAATGTGCAGCTTCCTCAGTTGCCTGGCCTGTCATTTTCATCATTTTCATCAGGTTACTCTTAGGGCATTCTGTGACCCATGACACTAAGGCTATATGACCCATAATGTAAGACCAAGGCCTGCTGGCCTATAAGGTAAGGTGCTGTTACCAGCTTACTTGACGCCCCTGGCTCATCTTAGACATGAGGTCTCCTAACTCGTTGCTTAGAACCCTTTCACAAGGTTCTTTTGTTCCCTAAACAAAACAAAACAAAAAACAACAAAAAAAAGAAAAAACCAAAACCAAAGCATTGAGACCTCACTTTTTGATTTGAATTTTTATTTAACCTAATGTCCTTTCATCTCTTAATAGTTGGCTCTGGGACCCACTATGCAGCTGAATCCTCTTTCATCGGCCCTTGTGTTTGTTGGTATAATTTGGTGTAAAGGAAAATAAAAAACTCTCAGGACCCCCAAAGTCCTTATGCAAAAGGGAAGGTTAAGCCTGGAGACTGAGTCACATAACGCTCTCTTCCAAATGAATAGCTGTTACTAGCATTATGCGGTTCCCCACTGGAAGGTAAAAGTCCTCAGGCGTCTACAAAGGACCACCCCACGGATCATTCATAAGTAAATTCTTTGCCAGCCTCCCACAAACAAGCACATGTCAATTATAACGTTAGATCTACAGTCTACAGCTAGAGCCAAAAACTAGTCCGTTCATTCTATGTTGACAATGTCAGTTACAAACTTACCTTCCCAGGTGCAAAACATAGACAAGATGAGACCAATCATTCCTCCACCTATCCGGAGAAGTCTGCATAATCAGTTCTTCATTTACTCCCTTTTTTCTCTTCAAACATTTACCTTATCTTATGTAAAATGTAGATTTAGTGGGTACTAACTAAAGTCTCACAATAATGTGACCATTTACCTTACCACCTACCTGCCCATCTTCCTACCTACCTTCCCCTCTTTAAGGAAATGTATAAATACTAAACCTTCTGAAAACCTTTTTAGAAAAAACAGCCACAGATGTGTCTTGTGTTTTTCCTGGATGCTCCCTCAAGCTGGCTTAATAAAGCTTGATTGACTGAGACTTTTGCCTCAGTCACTCATTTCAGTTATCATCAGATTACATGAGAATATCCTCGTGATATCTAGAAAAACAGCCTCTGCTGCTATCGGGACAATGCTAGGAAAGTCTTCCCTCGTTTTCAGCGTCTGCCTGCCCTTCTGCAGTAAAAGCCACCCACTCTACCTGCCCACACTCCCCTAGCACCAGCCAAAGGATGCCTCGCTGTGAAGACAAAGCTGGTGATGCCCATGAAGGAGTTCCCAGGAGACATCTCCACATAGGTAGAGTGTCTGGAAGAGGTAGGGTCCTCGGGTCCCACCAGCCAGAGAAACATTCAGTTAAGGCAGAACCTGGCGTGTGGTCAAGGAATGCTTTGCTGAAAAAGAAATCTCGAAATAGACGTGTAGGTGTAACTGAGTAACCCCCTTTTTCTAAGAGGTAGAGAATAAGTTGTTATTATTATTACTTCTCTTCTTTTCTCTTTTCTCTATTTCTCCATGCTCCCCACTTCCTACTTAGTCTTTCAGAAATGCAATTATAACCTTCTACCTCCCCTTCACCAGACACTTCCTACAGAGCAAGTTCATCTATGTGCTTAGAAGCTCTAGAGTGGGACTGTCTCCCACCAGGAAACTGCCTTGAGGACAACAATCAATTTACAATTCAAAGTATGCCTGCTATGAAACTGTCTCCCACCTGGAGAGTTTCGGCCATCTTTATAACCTAGTTCTACCCACCAAGGCACCAACTTGACTACCTGGTAGATAAGGCACTGAAGGTAGTATGTGGACCCCTACCTGTTCACTTCCTGCCCTGCATGTCATTCATGCCAGGTCCCCTTTTAAAAGTGCCCACTTTCTTTTTATTGTATTTATTTATTTTTTTGAGATGGAATCTCACTCTGTTGCCCAAGCTGGAGAACAGATCTCGGCTCACTGCAGCCTCCACCTCTTTCCAAAAGCCTAAGCCCCAGAAAGGGAGAGCATTTGTAGGTGTAAACAAAACATCTTCGCTAGAAACAGGGAGAGAGAGGGGGGCTTCTCTCACACACCAGAAAGACGTTCTCCATGAGGAAGATAAAAGAGGAAGACAAGCAGCAATAGAAAGAGAAAAAACTCAATGAGGGTCCCTGTGGGCAGGATGAAGGAGGGCTTCACCATGACACATGCAGACCACGGGGTCCTGCCTGGTCTGATGACCCTCAGCTGTGAACAGTCCTGTGAACACGGATGTCCACGGGGGAAGAGGGTGACTCAAGTAGAATTAAGTTAAAAATTTTAGACCGGGAAGGCGGGAGCGGCAACATGGCGGCTTCGGGGGCTGGTGACCCTCTGGATGCTAAGCCTGGAGAGGCCCCATTCGCTCAGCCTATCGACCCGACTCGGGAGAAGCTGGCACCTGAGCAACTGCATTCCATGCGGCGGGCGCAGCTTGCCCAGTGGCAGAAGGTCCTACCGCGGCGGCGGACCCAGAACATCGTGACCGGCCTAGGCATCGGGGCCCTGGTGTTAGCTCTTTATGGTTACACCTTCTACTCCATTCCCCAGGAGCGTTTCCTAGATGAGCTAGAAGACAAGGCCAAAGCTGCCCGAGCCCGAGCTCTGGCAAGGGCGTCAGGATGCTAATCTGGATGGGTATTGATCATGTCCAACCTGCTGGAGCCCCTTCACATGGTGGAGGATGCCCCATGACCCTGTAGAAATTGAATCCTGCTCACAACATTGTTGGCCTTCTTACTAACCTTGGGCCATGATTAATCCCAAGAAACCAGGGACTTAAGCATTTGGCCACTGTCAAAAGAACAGAACTTTGCCCACTGCACACTTGCTGTGTACAATGACTGAGCCCTTTCCTGTAGTTTGTTTCCTTGAGAGGTGTGCATGCGACCGTGGCTTTTCCCAATGTTTCTGACTTTGTGGTTTACCCCCTTCACCTTCCAGGGATGTGATTGTTAAGAGGTTAGGCGAGGCAGCTCTGTGCGGTGTTTGAGCCTAAAGTGGGATAGATAGGGACAAATTGAGAATAATAAACGGAGTCATTCTCCTGGAAAAAAAAAAATTTACAGTCTGGTGAAGTAAGCCTGGGGCATCTTTCTGTACCCATTGAACACTAATTCCCCATTCTGCCTCCTCTTAACCCCCGTTCAACCTTCTATCTCTATGCATTTGACTCCTCCAGGTACCTCATACAAATGGAATCATATAGTCTTTGTCCTTTGTGACTGACTCATTTCAATCAGCATAATGTCTTCAAAGTTTATCTATGTTGTGGCATGTGTTAGAATTTCTTTACTTTTGAAGGCTGAATAATATTCCATCGTATGCATCCACCATAATTTTTGTTTATCTATTGATCTGTTGATGGACTCGGGTTGCTTTCACCTTTTGACTATTATACATTAGGCTGCTATGAACATGAATGTACAAATATCTCTTCCAGTCCCTGATTTCAATTCTTTTGGGCATATACCTAGAAGAAGAATTGTAAACTGTATGATAATTCTATGTTCAACTTTTTGAGGAGCCACCAAACTGTTTTTAACAGGGGTTGAACCATTTTACATTCCCACTAAGATTCCAGTTTCTCCACATCCTCACCAACACTTGTCACTTGTTATTTTGTGTGTGTGTTTGTGTGTTTGAATGTCATCCTAAAAAGTGTGAAGTGGGATCTCATTGTGGTTTTGATACGCGTTTCCCTAATGATTAGTGACGTTCAGCATCTTTTTATGTGCTTGCTGGACATCTGTATATATTCTTTAGAGAAATGTCTACTCAAGTCTTTTGCCCATTTAAAAAATGAGTTAATTTTTTTTTTAAAGAAGTGGGGTCTTTTTATGTTGTCCCAGCTGAACTTGAACTCCTGGGCTCAAGTGATCCTCCCACCTCATCCTCCCAAGTAGCTGGGACCACAATGTAGGAGTTAATATATTCCAGATATTCTTTTTTTTTTTTTTTTTTTTTAAGATGGAGTCTTGCTGTGTCGCCCAGGCTGGAGTGCAGTGGCATGATCTTGGCTCACTGTAACCTCCACCTCCTGGTTCACTGTAACCTCCGCCTCAGGCTCCCGAGTAGCTGGGATTACAGGCATGTGCCACCATGCCCAGGTAATTTTTGCATTTTTAGTAGAGATGGGGTTTCACCATGTTGGCCGGGCTGGCCCCGAACTCCTGACCTCAGGTGATCTGCCTGCCTCGGCTTCCCAAAGTGTTGGGATTACAAGCGTGAGCTACCTCATCCAGACTCCGGATATTGATTCTTTATCGATACAAGATTTACAAATATTTTATCCCATTCTGTGGGTTGCCTTTTCACTCTCTTGACAGTACCCTATTAGGCACAAAAGGGTTTTTTTGTTGTTGTTTGTTTGTTTGTTTGTTTTTGTAGAGATGAGGTCTCACAATGTTGCTCAGGCTGGTCTCGAACTCCTGGGCTCAAGCAGTCTACCTGCCTTGGCCTCCCAAATTGCTGGGATTACAGGTGTGCACAAAAGTTTATAATTTTGATGAAATCCTATTTATCTATTTTCTCTTTTTGTTGCCTGTGCTTTTGGTGTAATATCTGAGAAATCATTGCCCAATCCAAGTCATAAAGTTTTCCCTGGTGTTTTCTAAGAGTTTTATAGTCTTACCTTTAGGTCTTTGATCAAATTTGAGTTAATTTTTGTAAATGGTGTAAGGCAAGGGTTCAACTTGATTCTTTTACATGTGGATATCCAATTTTTCCAGCACCATTTGTTGAAGACACTGTCATTTTCCCAGTGAATGCTCTGCAAACTCCTGTTGAAAGTCAGTCAACCAAATATGCAAGGATTTATTTCTGGGCTCTGTATTCTGTTCCATTGACATATTTGTATAGCCTTATGCCAGTGCTGCATTGTTTTGTTTTTGTGGTAGCTTTGTAGTATATTTTGAAATCAGGAAAAGTGAGAGTTCAAATTTTCTTTCTTTTTCTCTGTTGTTTTGGCTTTGTGGGGTCCCTTGAGATTTTATATGAACTTTAGGATGAGGTTTTCCATTTTTGCAAAAATCACTATTAAGATTTTAATAAGAATTACACTGAATGGAGATTGCTTTGGTTAGTATTGTCATCTTAATAATGTCAAGACTTATTATCTATGAACAAAGGATGTCTTTCCATTTATTTAGTCTTCTTTAATTTCTTGTAGCAATGTTCTGTAATTTTCAGTGTATAAGTTTTTTGCTTCCTTGGTTACATTTATTCCTAAGTATTTTATATTTTTTGATGTTAGTGTAAATGCAATTTTTTTCTTCATTTTCTTTTTTAAATTGCTCGTTGTTAGTATATAGAAATGTTACTGATTTTTTGTATGTTGATTTTGTATCCTAAACTTTGCTGTATTTGCTTGTTATTAATAGCCATAACAGGTTTTGTGTGTGTCTGATCTTCTGCATATAAAATCATGTCATCTGTGAACAGAAGTGGTTTTATTCTTCCCTTCCTTTCTTCCTTCTTTTTCTTGCCTAATTGCTTCAGTTAGAACTTCCAGTACTATGTTGAACATACGGCCAAAAATGGAAACCCTCGTTTTGTTCCTTATCTTAGGCTAAAAGCTTTCAGTCTTTCACCATGGAGTATGATGCTGGTGGTGCATTTTCATATATGGACTCTACTATGTTGGGAAAATTTCTTCTTACTCCTTATTTTTGGGGCATTTAAAAAACGGGTGTTGAATTTTGTCAAATGCTTTTTCTTCATCAATTCAGATGATCATGTGGGGTTTTGTTGTTTTTTTCTCTTCATGCTATTAATGTAGTGTATTACATTGATTTAGTATCATATGTTGAACCATTTTTACATTCCAAGAATAAAGCCCACCTGGTCATAGTGTATATTCTTTTTAATATGTTGCCAAATTTGGTTTGCTTGTACTTTGGTAGGCACTTTTGTATCAATATTCATAAGGAATATTGGTCTGTAGTTTCTTTTCTTGTAGTTTTGTTTTCTGGCTTTGGTATCAAAAATAATGCTGGCTTTATTGAATGTTAGGAAGTGCTTTCTCTTCAACTTTTGGGAAGAATTTGAGAATCATTGGTGTTAATTCTTCTTTAAAAATGAGTAGAATTCACCCGTAAAGCCATCTGCTCCTAGACTTTGCTTTTTTTTGTTTATTTCATTTTCAAAATGCATCACTTTATTTTCCTTATAAGGCAGCCACACATTAAGCACATGACAGTCACCTGATTTCTTCAGTGAGTCCCCTGGCTTCCACGAGCTTTCCTGGAGCCCATGGCTAGAAGAGTCCTGAGATTTCAAATATTAAAACTTTCTCCACAGCCACAAGTTCCTTTGATGTTTGGGTGATTGAACACAAACTCACTGGATCATTTGTCTTCAACATAGTCCATTTCTGTTCCTAGAAGTATTAGCTGTGCTTTCTTTTCAATGAATACTCTGACTCCATCTTGAATAACTTTTTCATCAGAATCTCCTTTTGTCTTTGTATATTCTAGAGTGTAAAAAAGACCATTACAGCCCCTGGTTTGGACACCAACATTTACACCTACATGCTCAGGCTTATCTTTAAAGTTGTTTTATCTTGTTTACTGCTGAAGGCGTCAGGGTGAAGGCAGCCCTAGTGGGCTGCAGTTTGCTCTTTCTAGTTTTTTTAGTTTTCCTAGTTTTTCTAGTTTTTTAGTTTTTTAGTTATGCAGACTAAGGAAGCCGCCATCTTTGCTGTCCTGGAGCCCTGGTGCCTCGGAGCCCGGCTCCCTCAGCCTGTCTCCATGCACACAGCGGGCGCACTCCTGGGCTTTTCTTTCTTGGAGGTTTTTGATAAGTGATTCAATATCCTTCCTAGTTATAGATCTTATCAGATTTTCTGTGTCTCTGTGAGTCAATTGTGATAGATTTTATGTTTTATAGGAATTTTAAAATTTCACTACTTTATCCAGTCTGTTGGTGTATAATTGTCCATCGTATTCTCTTTTATTCCTTTTTATTTCTGCAAAATTGATGGCAATGTCCCCACTTTTACTTCTGACTTTAGTTATTCGAATCTTCTCTCTTTTTTCCTTAGACAATGTAGCTAGTTTCTCAATGTTGTTGTTTTTTTGAATAATCAACAATTAATTTTGTCTATTTTTCTGCTCTGTTTTTTAAATTTCTGCTCTAATCTTTATTATTTATTAATTATGCTCCTTTTGACAGCTTTGGTTTTAGTTTATTCTTCTTTTTATAGTTTCTTAAGGCATAAAGTTAGTGAATTTGAGATTTTTCTTCTTTTTTAATGTAAGCATTTAAATCTATGCGTTTTTTCCTAACATCACTTTTACTGAATCCCATAAAGGATTTTTAATTAAAATGTTTAAATTTTAGATTCAGGGGATACATGTGCAGGTTTGTTACAAGGGTATTTGTGTGATGCTGAGGTTTGGGCTTCTACTGACCTAGTTATCCAGATAATAAACACAGCACCCAATAGGAAGCATTTCAGCCCTTGCCCCCTCTCTCCTTCTCTTCTTTTGGAGTCCCTACTGTCTGCTTTTTCCATCTTTATGTCCATGTGTACTCAAGGTTTAGTTTCCATGTGTAAGTGAGAACATGAGACATTTGGTTTTCTGTTTCTGCATTAATTCACTTAGGATAATGGCCTCCAGCTGCATCCATGTTGCTGCAAAGGATATGATTTTATTCTTTTTAATGGCTGCATAATATTCCATAGTGTATATATGCTGCATTTTCTTTATCAAATCCACGATTGATAGGTTGATTCTGTCTTTGCTATTGTGAATAGTGCTGTGATGAATGTATGAGTGCAGGTGTCTTTTTGGTAGAATGATTTATTTTCCTTTGGGTATATACCCAGTCATAGGATTGTTGTGTCAA